TCTGTGTGTGTGTGTGTGTGTGTGTGTGTGTGTGTGTGTGTGTGTGTGTGTGTGTGCGCACAGAGGGAGGGGGGGTGGGTGAGGGTGAGGTAATGACGAGAGTGAGATGAGTTCAGAGTAAGGTAAATGCAGTGAGAGATGTTGGCGGACGTGCACGCCTGGATGTGCACGTGGACGATGTGCTCGTGTGAATGAGCGTGGATGTGATCTGCATGAACAAGAACATAATCATCCGAGAGAGGAGTACGAAGAAAGGAAAAAACTAGATGAAAATGAACAGATAGGAGAGGAGCGTTACGCGATGATCTGTGAGCAAAAAGATGATAATAGTTCTGCCGACACTTCAGTACGGAAGCAGGCTGCCGGAGCATTTCCTCCTCGACAACCTGAGATTTCTTCTCATAATATGAAAAAAGCAGAAATATCTTCAGGGAGTAAAGATTTTTTTTTTTTTTTAAATCAGTCGGTCTGTATTAATTCATACAGACTCAACGCATATTGAATGACTCGAATTCTACCCATTAGTTTGATCAGTGAGCTCTCCACCGCTCTGTACTGTCCTTGAGCTGAAAAAAAAGTAATCACTGTCTGTTGAGAGGAGTCACCCCCCTGCACACAACATCACCTCTTTCCTCATACTGTTTACTTATCAGTTACAAAAATGCAGGCAGACCGCAGTTCATACACACATATGATGCCATATTACTTTGCGACTCTGCGTTTTAATTAAGGAGATACATCACTGTCTCACTTCACTCAGTGTCCCAGACTGCCCACTTCCACCTGCTGCTTGGTGCCCGACCGGGGGGGCTGACAGAGGCAAGGGGGATAAATCAGACCTTGCGAGATGTTGTCTTAGCACTCTTACCCTTTAGCCCCAGGTAGCGAGGCTTGTGTACGCCACACCCAACATATCACTCTAGCCATGGGCCTATGGCTCTGCGGCTGACCTGTGGGTTAATAGAAATGTTGACAGGCAATAATATCCAGTCACCCATACAAAAAAATCTGAAACTATAGAGGACAGCAAGGTAGTGTGAAAAGATGAGAGCAGGGAATGAAAGAAACAAGGGCAAAGAAAAAGGCAAAGACCAAGCTGAGTAAGCATACAAAAAATAAGGCTACATGGTGTATTGTGTATGTGATGTTCTCAAGGTGTGACCTTTTTAATTTTAAGGGAGCAAGGGCTACTTTGCTACACAATAGAGCTAGTTAAGGAGTGGAGAAAATGGGAACAGGATGAGATAGTTGTGCGCTGAATTTTTTACACAAGGTATAAGGTCAGAGGAACCGACAGGGATGAGAGAGAAGGACAGAAAGGGAGCGATTGACAAAGAGGGGGAGCAGGCAGATACTCCTCCTCATCTCCTCCTCATCTCCAATAGCTGGAGACGTTTGCAGAATCTCGTGTAAACTACAAACAAGTAAAACACTTTAAAAATCTGCCCCGCCAACCCATTATATCTGTTCAGTGCAAAGAATAGCTCTTCTCATATTCAGCCACGCAATCAAGCTTCCTCAAAAGACAAACCGCTGGATTTTTCCATTCGGAGAAAAAATGTTTGAGCGCCACTAAATAAATCCCCAGGACTTTAATCACACCAACCCCCCTGTGGAAAAGGTCACGCAACAACCGCTGACATTACGGTTCACATTCATGTGGAGACGGTACAATCTGAAAGGAACAAAAGAGAGGTTTTTGTGCGTGTGTGTAGACCTTAAAGTACAGTGAACAGACGTAAAGCAAAGAGGTAAGGAGTAGGAAGAGGAGAGTAGGTGTCAGATTGTGGGAGGTTAAAGATTATCACCATTTCTAACTTAATGCTTCAGTCTCTTTCTATCACCGTCTCCCCTCTCCTCCTCCATTGCCTCAGAGCCACCAATAAATTATGGATGCTTATTAGAAAAGGGCAATATTCAGCATTCAAAATAAAGTCAGCAGCAAGACATAAAAGCGAGAGACGCAAACAAATGTGCTGATGTGGGGAGAGGAAGCGCTAAAGTCACAGGGGAGCCAGTCGCCAGGCCAGTTAAAAACCTAGACGGTCTCTTTCTAGGTCATCGGCTTCCAGCCCGTGTGCCACGGCAACGTTCAGCAGCAAGCAAAAGCGCCACATCGCAAATATGCTGAAATGTTGGGTCGCATTCACAGAAACACACAGACACCAAATAGAAAAGCAGCGATGTGTTGCAGCCCTTCATTCTTCCTTCGGCAAAATCTTCAAAGTGATGGAAAATGTTGGCACATAAAACTTTTTCCCTTTCTGCTTGGTATGTTTTCTACTTGTTGTGCTTTGTTTTGTGGCTAGTGGAGAGTCCTCAGCTCTCCCCCTGACTGCTGCAAGGGCCTTGCTCAAATCTAAAAAAAAAAAAAGTGTTAAGCAAAAACATTGATTCATGTTCCTTAAATGTCCTGTAAACAAGCACATAACAGAGCATCATGTTGCAGGCCAATATGCAGTTTGAATTTCCATCCACAGCACAAGCTACTGGTTTTGTGCAACTTTGTCGAGCAATCAATAATTTGGTGTCCCTGTGAACTCGCTGAGTGTGATGTGATGCAGCACCACAAAGAAGAAGTGAAACACTTTTCTGGTACTCTGTCTGAATTCATGTTGTAACTGTGGAGTATTTCAAATTTTTCTGAACCTTCCCTAATCCTCGAGTAAATTGGGGGTGGTTGCATGTGGATTGCACATCATGCACCGGCATTACACTATATCCAGATTAAATTAAACTATAAAATTGATGTATATACATGTGCAGGGATGTTTGTTATCGGAGAGTGAAAATGCATGTAGGAAAGAGGAGAGGGTGCCGGTAAAAAAGCGCTGACTATAAAACTATCTTAATAAATGTGCTTAATATGCTTTACCTGCAATAAGGTATCATGTTCTGTTGCTGCACTTGCTGTCCGTCCTATTTGAGGGACAGGTGTTACAGGCGTTTCGACAGCCTATCAAAATCCACAGAAGTACAATCAATACTACGCTGCTGCAAGAGAAACAGTGACTGATCCACAAGTCCCTGCTGAGCCAGCAAACTGTTGCGGTGGGAAGAGAAGCGCGTCTGCTGCACGAGCACGTCCCACTCACACATGCACGTGCACACACACACACACACACACGCAAGCAGGCTTGTGGGTTCACATTCGCACTCGCGATCACTGACACCTGCATGCAGCAGACTCTCAGGCGTGAGCTGACAAAAACGCACACATCCAAACACACCCCAGAGGAAGGCTACAGTAAATGAAGCTCACAGCCTTCCAAAGCGTTGACATCAATCAGGCACGCTTACACCGTGCGGCTCCCGACGGACGAGTCGCATCTGTCTGCTGGAGCAAGTGCTAAACAATTCCAGAGTGAGGGGGAAACCATTTTACGCATATCTGCATACACAGCGAGCGAGCCAGCGTGCCAAACTGGTTGGCTCTCTTCCCGATATTTCCTACTTTGCGTAAATTGTGAGGCTATTTGTTTCGTTCTGAATTAGTCATTTTAATGACGATGTGTTTACCTACACGTACATGAAACAGTTGTAGCCCCTGGGAGTATGGGCCTGCAAATACAAAACTTTGGGAATTATTTTTTATCCCTCAGCAGAGACGGAAAGGTTGGTGTGGTACACCAGACTGGAAACCCTCTACTGGTAGAAACCACATATCGTTGCAGCCATTGACCTCTCTGCTTCGACCCACTGCTTATTCGTGACGGAGCCCATGAGGCACGGATGCACAAATTCTTCATGAAAATCAGTTTTCAGCCCGAACTGTTTCATACAGTTATTGTGAGAAAAAGAAACGAGGACAAGAATGCACCAGGGCCAACCGGAGATGTGGGCCTTCATAATACTTCATATTATGAAGTACTACTTCATACTTCATAATAAAAATCATTCCTAGCAAAAAAATTAAAAATAACTATGAAAGCATATATTTTTAAGCAAAAAATGTATGTTGAATTTATGTGATGCCACTTAAACTCTGTTACATTATCCTTCGCTGTAAATCCTCGGTATTGTTTAAGGCGTTGCTTTAATGCCTTCACCCGATGGTTAAGGAATATATAGAGAGGCAGAGGTTAGTGAGCCAGGACTTGCACATGGCCTTACTTGCTCCAGCAAATGTCAGTCTGTCAGCATTTCTCGCTGTGACAGCGGGCTGCGGGATTGCTTACGACAACGGCACTCCGTGCTGCTTAAACAGACCTTGTCTCCAATGTTTGCCGCATGCCGTCAAACATCAAAATCAATATGAAAGCTGACAGATCAGTTTTGTGTGTTTGTCTTGCCCCAAAGGGACGGGGAGGATGCATTTCTGGCCTGTAGCTGGAGAACCGGCGCCTCTGTAGTACAGCGAGACGTAAGAGGCAACAAATCTCTGCTTCATCCTCAAAAGCACAGCGTGACTGCCCTGTTTGACCTGACCAAAGGAGCCCGTTGTGTGTGTGTGTGTGTGTGTGTGTGTGTGTGTGTGTGTGTGTGTGTGTGTGGGAGGGCAGTACACCTGGGTGGAGTTAAACAGTGGCCAACTACAACCATTCAGCAATAACCGTAAATCTAGATCGTTTCAAGTTTGATGGTGCTTTGTGAGACTAAGCACGAAATCTGTGAGTCTAATGGGGAGTTTTTGCAATGAAGATAATTCCACTCTAAACATGGAACATGGAATTACATTAGATTTACGGGAGGTGGATTTCCCTACTGCTACATTGCCCCCTCCTGTGCTGTGACTTCTAAGAAACCGTGTCTCCCTTTCAAGTTCATTTGCTGTCCCTGAAGCCATGCTAGTGGTCCTTTAAACGCTAGTTATTACACTGCCTCTTATTAACGCATCGTACTCAAGCACGGACAATATGGGGCGAGGAGAGGCTCTTAATTAAGGTTACAAGCTAATAATTGGACAAATTAACATCGCATTGGTTCTCAGTCAGCCTGCACTAATAAAGTACGCATTGGTGAGGTAATAGGAATACGTTTGTAAAACATCGAGTCCTTACCGTAAACTCCTTGGCCCCCGGTGAGAGGATGTACACTAGAAAATAACAAAATCCAGAAAAGCTCCATGTTCAGCTCAGTTCCGTCATAACCTAGAAGGGGACAAATGGGGGGAGAAATACTTTACCATTTGGCCACACCGTCTTTGTTACGCTCGTGCCAATGAAGCATGTTGAACTAAGAGGTGAAAACAGGCAAACGGGGAACCAGCCAGCAGATGTGACCAACAAGGAGGCGACGGCCGACCGATGGTTGTCAAAAAAGGAGGAACAGGTACTTTCAATTGTTTTTCTCGTGTTCAGCTGTCTCTCCTTCAACCCCTTAAGCCGTGAAAATAATAGCACAGAGCAATTTGGCTCCGGGCAGCACGGCCAACATCGACTTATTCGACTTAAAGGACGAGTAATTCAATCGCGAATCGTGGATTATACAAAGTTTACAAGCAGTGCTCTGAGTGCCAGAGAATCGGAGATTGACAGGATTGTTAAGCGTTACTAAACATCCTCCTCACTGAATACTGGGGGGGGGGGAGGGGGAGGGGGGGGTCTCATGACAGGAGAAGACTATAGGGATCAGTCCATTCATGGGGGATTAGCTACAACAAGTGGGGTCATGTGCGTCAGACCCCCTCCCCCAAAACACCCCCTCACCATCACACACCCGCACACACACACACACACACACACACACACACACACACACACACACAAAGACCTTTGCTTCAGATCGTTAGGCATGTATTATTATCCCTGTATTTGAGGTGTCAGTGATTCCGTTAATAATAAAGAACCTGTTGGAAAAACTTGAAGCAAAAGGATAAACCGAGCGGGGGGGGGGGGGCGGGCTCCTGGAGCATTTTAGGCGACTCCTAGGATGGAACCGGAGGATTCCCTCCGACGCGCGGCCCTCATGTCTGTCTACTTATCCGGCCGCATTGTCAGACTGTCACATTGACAGCTTGTCATGACAGCGCGCAGCGAGGGAAAGTTTCAAGTTCGCACGTGAGGTGCGCTCGGTGAGACTTGGACGTTCCTGTAGTCGAGAGCATCGTTATTCTGCCGGCGTTAATATCAATTATGCAAATATAAGGAAGGGGAGCACGGAGACAGAGAATCGGAATGTGAGAGGAAATAAGTGCTACCAGAGCAAAGCTTTTCATATTAATGTGTGTTAAATAAAATAGCTATAGCGCCAGATTGGAGAGGTTCGCAAATCTGTACACGTTTTAATCTAAAACATGCGCGCAGAATTGACGCGAAGTCAATAAATAAAACATATGAGCGTGGGAATAAAAGGAACCCGGTCGTCCTCACGCGGGCTTGTGGTCCTCTACCTTGTTTCTGAGGTGCCGTGCTTTGCCGCGCGCGCTCCTCCCGGTTGAGCGGAGAGGACTCCTCGGCTCTCCGTTACACCGAAACGCCTTCGTTATCTTCCCACAAAAAGTTATATATCCTCCTCCAGCGGGCGTCCTGCGTGAGCTTTGCAATCCCCGGGGAGCGCGATGGAGAGTTTTCTACCCTCTCAAAAGCACCTTGATGAGATAAACTTTTTTTTTTTAAACCTTTACGCACGGAGAGAAGCGGGCACCGGAATCTTACCGCTGATCGGTTTCCCCACGAGAGTCCGGCCCTCTTATACCCCCCCCCCAAAAAACACTTTCCCTTTCTAACAAACTCAATCAAGGCTACTTTGGCAAAGAAAAAAAGAATCCTTTAACCCGGTTTCCTCTTTTGTGGGTTATTTACTTTTAAAGGCGTGGTTGAAAATGGCTTTTCTTTCTGTCTCTCTCTCTCGGCCTCAGACAGTCTAGTGAAGGAACCCTTCTAACACAATCATGCGCTCTGGAAATGAGCTCCCCTCCGCTGGTTCAATCAGCGCAGTGTCTGCGGACTCCGAGTGATGCTGGCCAAGTGGAATATGTGCGCAGACTGAGAACGACCGCCCCTGTCTGAGAAGGGAGAGAGAGAGAGAGAGAAAGAGGAGGGGGGGGGGGGGGTGGAGGACAGAGGCTTTCACATAGATGCGCTCAAGCCTCGCAGCTCCACACTGAACAGGTTGTCAAAGAAAAAAACAGCCCCGCCCTCCCCCTCTCCTCTTTTCTCCCTTCCCCGTTCCTCCTATTCCTTCTAACCTGTTGGGTGCCGCGGGACGCGTTAAGGAGTCGAGGGGGGGGCAGCAGTGTGTTTGTGGGGGGGGGTTGCCTGTCTCGCTCTGACTGTCCACTTTTGGGGGAGCCCCCCAATGCCGGTGACAATTAGAAGTGACGCGCGCTGTGGAGGGAGCCCCATCGCCGCTGCCCGTGGACCGATTATTCATGAGAGTAAAAATAGACAGATTTTTCTTTATCTCTCTCACATACACACACACACACACACACACACACACACACACACACACACACACACACACACACACACACATACATACACACACACACACGAAAGGCGCTTACAACCATTACATCGACTGGGTCCCTCTCGCCCCAACACACACACACACACACACACACACACACACACACACACACACACACCTTTTAACCAAGCTCCACATATTGTACCAGTGGGAATTCACTACTCAATTTGGCCACAGGGGGGAGTGTTTCCTCTCATTTCCATTCTTGCCCGTGCGCAGATATGTACTGCGCGTGTGCATGTGTGTGTGTGTGTGTGCGTGTGCATGTGTGTGTGTGTGCGTGAGAATGGGTCTGAAAGCGTCCTGTGTAGAGGGCCGCAGCATTCCAGGCCTCCCACTGTCGGTTTGTTACAAAGCAGAGGCTCTGTGTGCAGCTGGAGTGGAAGAAATAGACACTTACTTCTTCAATATCTAGAAGCCCGTCTATCAGAGCGCAGCAAGAAATCTGTGGCTGAATAAAGGGAATAACCCAATGGCGCCTTTTTCCTACAATGCAGCAGCTCCGTGTAATCAGGCTTGCCTTAACATGAGAACCTGAAAACAGAGGTAGTTAACTGCCCAGTTTAGAGCTTTCTACTCACTTAAGTAAGTATTAGTTATCCTTAGGTCATTCTGCAGGACATTTTGACCTTGAGGATCTGCAGATGGATATCTGCTTAGTAAATGTTTGTTCTAGTGTGTTGAAGTACTGAGGAGCCGGATTCTAGTTTCAAGGTAGTGAAGCAATAAGGTACGAGAGGCTGTACTTTATCGTCCAATAATGTAACAGTTCTGGGTTGTTGTTTGGCCCGAGGCGAACCCCCTAACCTGCTACTTTGAGTGCACAGTGATACGGGACGCTCAGGTCAATGTGAACAGAAATTGTACATTATCGCTCAATAATGTACCGCTTGTGACTCACTCTCAACCAATCAGAACGCTGGATTTTATCTACCTGTATTATACATTATATTATATTTTTATATAATGTGGTTGCAATACATTTCACTGCATAATCTCAGAACATTTTGGAACATTAATATCCCGATTTCCAGTTTGTTAGTTTGGGTAAAGCTTGAGAGAGGATGAGAATATAACTATTTTAATTTTACAGTCATTTGTGAAACCTTATCTTATCTAGTGATTTTATCTAGTGTGGGCAGCAGTTTGTGCTGTGATTTCTACTTTAACTAATACAGTCGCACTGATCACAATCACTTGTAGTCAGTCAATGTTTGGTCCTAACACTAGTAGTGATTACAATGGTCATCTATATTTTCTACAGGCGTATGTGTACTCTGAAGACCTTCATTCTGCCAACAGAGGCAACATTAATTCACACCACATGACAGTTTAAAACCGGTTTACCAGGATTACATTTCTCCAAAATAAGTCTGTACATAAATCCTGTGAAGTGGGGGACTTGCTTATGTTGGCCGTACAAAAAAATGGTATAATTCCCCATTCTTGTCATAATAATTGAACACGGTGGAGTATTTTAAATATTTTCACTGAAAATATGAAGAACCACTGAAGAACGAGGTGCTTTGAGCCCAACATATCGGTAACACGTCTGCAGTGAGCAGCAGAAATTCAGAGTTATTATCTAACATTCCTAAACAGAATCAAGACACTCAGTAATTACTTAGCTCACTCAATCCAAATGAATGTTTTATTTAGAGTAAACAAAATCATGGGATATGGCTCAAGTGTGTGTGTGTGTGTGTGTCTTTCCCTCCCTTCCTTTTACTTTTTGCCTCTGCTTTTGGGCCGAGGCCAGCAGTCTTGGCATGTCTTGCCGAGAGCGCGTGATCGCTGCTTAAGGCAATGAATTTCAAAAGACAACATGTAGGAACAACCTTGGGTGGCAGCCACACAAACACACGATCACAATCATCCCACTACACGAAACCCTATTTTCGCAAAGAACTGCAAAAGGCTTCTGAAAAAAGCGATAATTGCGGTGGGTGAAGTGAGCAAACCAAATACTAGACCAGCCAAGTTATGATTCCGCTGCACACTCACACGGATGCACATCTTTGAGTTGCTTGATAATTGATTTTAAATTGTGCTGATTGGCTCTATTTTCAATGTCATTGTGAGGTTACACATTACAAATAATTATTATGAAAATAATAATTTTATCTTCTTTCTAAGCTTAGGACACACCTTAAAGGTGTCCTGGCAAATTTACTTGTAACTTAAAAATCTGTGCACTCGGACAAACGTGTTGAATGCTTTCCTTCCTCGCAACATATTTGCAAAGCTGATTTTGAGGTCTTTTAATCTGCAATGTTTATCAGTTTGATAACTAGCAGTTTTCTTAACTTGGCACGTTGCCGTATTTCTGTGCATCTTAATGCCACCTGTTGATCAGTGGAATTATGTGAAATGTGTGTGGGAGGGATGCGCGTTGCATAACAGCGATCTGCGTAACGGAACAGAGATCCGCACATAAAAAAAAAAATGAGGGCAAGAAAAACTCTAAAGGGTATCTTTACAATAGACAAATTTAGAAAGTACTTATCAAACAATGGACGAATTTGGATTAACGAGAGATGTGTGGGATGATCGAATTGGCGTGAAAATAAAAATTAAAAAAATTGCTTAATATGACCTACAGAGTCTTTCAATTATTTTTTTTTAAGGTCTGATCGTTACGGAGCACCTAAGATTTTTGCAGTGGTCTCTAATGTAACGCTAAACACTAAGGAAACTGCACATGAATCAGACACATCTAAAGATAACCAACCAATTAAACGTAACTGTAGTGTGGAAGGTGTTATAGCATCACCAAACGCTTCATGTTACAGCCTGCAAATTACTGCTGGCAAAACAACCAAATACTGTATTTACTGCCTGAGAAATGCAAGTATTAGTCAAGAGGTTAAGACCTTATAGAATAATTGGGAGAGAAATTTTCATTTTGGGGGTGTAGAAATTTCTAAGAAGTACGTTGGATTAAATGTATTTGAAGTTTATTGTTATTGCCATTTATTGTAGAGTAGGAGGAAGAAGTGTTCAGGAAAATAAAGAACCAATAGTTTTTAAGTATGGGATCATTTTTGAAATACTGTGGGGATTTACATTCTTCACAGAATAAAACCACATGAGTCTTGTGGCTTCTGAAAGGCATAATGAACATTGAAATGAATTTAAACCCAGTTGCGTCCTTTGATTGCATTACTGTATGTCTCCAGCCCCGACTGTTATGTTCTCAGCCCATCACAGCACTGCAGACTGTAATGCTATCTGAGGTGCTTTGGTAAAAAAAAAAGAATTCTGGTACCATGCTCAATAATTGATGTTCCCATCAGTGTAATTCAATCAGAGCCTTAAGTGCTGTATATCAGCACCAAGTACTTCCCCACATAGAAACAGTTAGATGGACAGAAAAGATACACTTGAGACCGCCGATAATTTCATTGTGTGTGTGTGCCTGTGTGTGTGTAGTGTACAGCAGAGACACTGGAAAAGTGAAAAGCAATATAACTCTGTTAAACATAGATGTGATAACAAGCGTCGCAACTTGACAACTCAACACGTCGATAGACGAGGCAGGAAAGTGCACCGAGCAAAGGACTGAGACGAATGGGAATCCCGAGGATAATTCCACCAAAAACTGCCATCAATGGGTACACAAGGTTAGAAGCCGCTTCACTTCACAACGGATGCAAAGTGTAAGACCCGCTAAACGAAGGCAATCGTCTGCATTGTATACCACAACCTGCGGTTTCAAAGGGGAGGCAGACATGAGGCAGTCCAGATAGGGGTGAGGATGAAGCATTTACAAGTCATAACTTCTTCACCTCATACAACAGATGAGTGAGATTGGGGCAGGAAGGACACGGAAGACAGACCCACTTTAATCACAGATTTCACGTTCATCTATTGTGCTGCTGTCTCTGTCACTCAAGAACATTTTAAGCCAAGTTGCGTTCCTACAGCTATTTTTTCTGCCCTTGTCTTATCAGTCTTCTTTTTGCATTTTTTGCGTGTCGCGGGACAAGTAAACATTGAACACTGGTGTCGCTGCCAACAAAGTGTTACATCTACACGTACGGACTTAACAAGGTCTGATCAAGGTAACTGAGGAATGGTTAAGATGAGGTTGAATTTAGGAAACATACATTCACATCTCCATTTCGACAGCCAGATCTGTGGAACACTATTGGGTTTAATGCAAATCACTACGGGATAATAGTCCAGGTTGAATAAAAAATGGGTTTATGGTGCATTTCATATTTGTCTCAGTTTCTTTCTTTTTTTAAACATTCCTTCAGTTTTTTAAGATTTAGTTATTTTGAAGACTTTAACTATTTTTCTACTCACTGGGGAAACAAAACTGCGAACGGTTGCAAAAAGGCCGGAATGATTAACAGGCTGGTAATGGCATCGTAGAAAAGTGGATCATTGGCAAATGGCCATAAACCGATGGATATCAAAAACTACGCTCTTTATCCAGTGAATATATATATATATACATGTATATAGATCATATATGTCTATGCATATATACAGA